ATAAATGTTAATGAAGAGTTTGATATAATTGATGATAATTTGAAGAAACTTAGTTCATAAAAGGAAAATTGATGGTTTATTATATTTGGAAGGTCCTTATGAACTGGCGGAGGTTGTGAAAGTGGTGGTCGGCGATTTGTGGAGGTTAATACAACGACAATGGTGGCTGCAATGGTCGTTGTCGATGGTGGTGGGTGAGGTTGGGAGGGTGGTGATCGACATAGTGGTTACTGATGGCAAAAGTGAAGGTGGTTGAGGTAGAGAAATGGTGATTGATATGGTGGTTATCGATGGTGGTGGTGATTGTGACAAAGGTGGAGGTGGTGGTGGTGGTAGAAGCAGTGTCGACGATGGTTGTGAAAGACGTGAAAATGGTGGATAGTGGTGGTGGTAGGGGTCGACAGTGGTGGATATGGAGTTGGAGGTGGTGGTTGTAGAATAAGTGGTGGCCTGTTAGGACTGAGAAATCAGTATTAATTGTATTCGTCTTGAAAGTTTATAAATAGTCTAATTGTAAAAAGTCAGAGTGTTTGACTTTCCTTTTAGATGTTTGACTTTGACTTTGTTTAGCTAGGTTGACCATATAAATATGGTTTAGTCTTTGTAATTAGTAGAAGGAGCTTAATTGTAAGATTACATACGTGTAATGAGAGTTTGACCATATTGAATACATTGACTTTTCTCTCAAGTGTTCTTGATGTTCTTAATGATAAATCTATGAATATGTCATTGTTGATGATGAAGAAATGAAGAATTGATCAGATTTTATGGACACACATGGCCAATATGGTGGAGGTAGAGGTGGTTGGCAGTGGTAATGGTAGCCGATGGTAGTGTTGGAGGTAGCCGTCGTTAGGCGATGATGGCCTTGTAGTGGTTGCCAACAATGGTGAATAAGGAAGTAGAGGAGGTGGAGGTGGAGGTGGAGGTGGAGGTGGGGTGGACGGTAGTAGTGGTAGTCGATGGTGGAAGAGGAGGTGGTTGGTAGTGTCTAGAGGTGGTTGACGATGGCATGTGGTGGTGGTGGTGGTGGTGGTAGTAGCGGCGATATGCGATGGTGACCTTTAAACCAAATATTCTATTAGCATTATATCAAATGAGGGAAGATTAGTATATATTTGGTTTTTTTATCCCATTCTTATGATTTTCGTTCCGTCTATTTTTATGGAAAAAAAACTTTTTTATCCTAGTCTCACATCAAAAGTAAAAGAATTTTTGTCCTATCCAATTTTACACCAAATATAAAAGTAGAATGGTGAATTTTGTCTCTGGAGTAATGAATTCACTGGTACATATATCAAATGTAAAAGAAAACAGGGATGGACCCAAGAATTTTTGGATACGGTGGCACCATATAAAATGGTTGCACTTTCTAGAACAAAACGGTTGCACCTTTCACAAAATTAATTTTTTTAACCTTACCATATGTGACAACTGTCAAATTTGAACTTCCAGGTTAGCTCTTATTAAGTTTATATTAGTGTTATTGAAGATAATTTATAAGATTAGGAGTTAGTTAGATTAGTTTGGTCGAAAAAATTCCTAAAAATTTCGGTAGTTGCTTAGAAAGTCCGGTTCCGACTCGTAACTATCTGAAACGTCCTATACAGTGCCAAATGCTCCAATTTATACCCAATTTATATAAAACACAAATTTTTAGTGTTTTAAATATAAAACCTTTTTATTTAAATGAATTTAGCCATCATGGGTTTATAATTTTAAGAAAAATGTCAAAATTGAGAAAAATGACATTTTAGCATTTTGGGCTTAATTTTTTATAAAAGAAAAAAAAAATTTGGGCTTGGACCATCCCATGGTCGGCCCCTCCCCCCTTTCCCTCCTTATTCCACATAAAAAGTCTTATTTCTTCATTTACAAATCATTTGCATCCTTCCAAAAAAAATTTAAACTCCCTCTCCCTCTCTCTCCCTCTCCCTAAAACTCAAGAGTCACCTTAAGATCATCTTCATCCTCCTTCATATTCATCCGAAATTTTCATCTTTTATTCATCAAAATAGCAAGGATTTTGAAGATATTACATCCCTCTTATCATCAATCAAGGTAACATCTTCATCTCCATCTTTTTCTTGCAAATTTTGGGAGAAAAACCCACTTTTTATGCATTTTAAATTACTATTTTCTAACCTCCGAAAATTCTGAGTTTTAAGGAGAGATTACACACCAAAAACATGTAAAAATGTTCATATGATGGTGGTGATCTATGACCCAAACATTAGAACTCAAAAAGATAGGTAAAATATGTGTGTATGATTCTTAAAAATGGCATTTTTAGGTGCTGACAGATTATGTGTATGTGCATAAATCGTCCATATCTTGAAAATAATATGTTCAAATGTTATGAATCTTCTTCTAAAAGTTTATTTATTGAGTTGGGGTTGTAATCCAATTGGTCTCACTCAAAAACATTGAKWTTTGACTCCCCAAATACTCAAAACATTATGAATGTGCATCTAAGAGTTTTTCAGTAGGTAAACCCTACTTTAAATAACCATAACTCTCTAGATAATCATTCAAAATTATTGATTTTTCTTCTGGAAGTTAAATTAATGAGTTACCTTTCAAATGCCACTGATTTCATTCAAAAATATGGTGATTTGAGGTTTTAACTACTCAAAACATAATGAGCATGCAATCTGTCCGAAACTGACAGATTTGTATATGTATGTTCTAATGACCATATCTCTTTCAAAACTCGATGAAAAATGATGATTCTTCCTTTGAGAGTTAACTATATGAGTTATCTTCTGCATGCAAGTGGAATCACATGAAAATATGGAGTTTTGATCTCCAAACACCTAAAACACTTTAGGTGTGCAAACTGTGAAACCATCAGTAGGTAACTCCTACTTTGTATGCTAATATCTCTTTATTTACTTGCTCTTAGTGTCTGATTCTTCTTCTGAAATGTTGTTTTATGAGTTAGGGTTCATATGAATCCAGTCTCACTCAAAAATATGAAGCTTTGAGGCATTAACCAATTCAATTAAGTTAAGTGTGCAATCTGTCAACTAATGACAGATGTGTGCATGTAACTTTATGGTGCCATATCTTCCTCTCAACTCATCCAAAATGAGTGATTCTTATTTTAAAAGTTTTATTTAAGTGTTAAGTTTATAATCCAACTTGTATTTCTGCAGAACACTTAGTAGAACTCTTCAAATGAGTATTTTTACTAACATAGTGTAATCTGCCATACCATCTATGTCATATTGTATTGCATAAATTATTTAAATCATTATTGCATGTCCAAAATGCATGAAATTTGGTCTCAATGACCATAACTTAGTGTTATATCTCATATAAAAAGATAGGAAACTATCTCATTTTAGAAGTCTCATTAAATTGATCATTTTATGTACCATTAGTTTCTGTCCAAAAATGAGATTTTGGAATTATTTGATTTTATAAATTTTGATCTTTTATTGGATTATAGCATTATTTCCGGTATAAATTACTATATTAACGAGCATATGGGCATTATGTATATTTGGACTATAGATAATCAAGTTGGACATAAGTAGACACTTATGGACTTAGGACTTATTAATCCCCATAAGTAGATTTAAACCCATAAGTGACGGTTTTGAATATTCCTCTTTGATAGGGAAACGTTAAGCTCGTGTGGTGACCGGATCGTATTTTTGATTTGCGGAGCTTTGCAAAAAGGTGAGTTTTCACAACCCCTTTTTACTATTTTCGCGTTTTTGGGGGAAAAACATGTATAAAAATAGTGATAATTTGCATGCAATATATAATATGTTTAAATCATGGATACAAATTGATTTTCATGAATTATGCTTTGAAATGAAATTGTGAATACGAGCACTAACACTTTGTACACTAGTAAAAGTTGTGTTTGGGTTAAATGAAAAAGTCTCACTTGGTTACACTACTTATTAACTCGTATGAGCCGATAATTTAAGTGGATAGCGCTATTTTGATTGACAATCCCACCTTTTGCTGACGAGTAGAGGTGCATTTAACTAAAACAAGAGTTCTACACATGTGGGGTTTTAGTCCCACCGCTGAGGTAGTCTGGTATAAAGGGCGTAGTTGTCGCAGGTTTAGTAGTGGCCCAACACTTAAAAATTACTTGGAGTACATTGTGCCTCGTGTGAAAGTGTTGCGAGTAAGTAAAAGACTTACTCGAACTAAATATTGCATAAAGATTTGTTGTACATTGAAAACCTGTGAACTCACCAACTCTTGTAGTTGACACTTGTTTCGACGTGCTTTTCAGGGGTAAGAAAGGCACATGGTGGCACTTAAAAGAAGCCGTGTTTCAACTATCACCTTCGAATATCTTTTTGTGTTTAATTTACAAACTTGTCGTTTGGAATTGTAAACTTTGGTTAATGATGTAATTAAATTTTACATGTATGGTGGTGTTATTTATACTTTACTGCTATGAGACTCTACCTGCCATACCTCGTGTTTCCGTTTTAACAGGATGTGACACCATAAATAAACAATACGATGGCACGTACCATCCCAACCACCCCTCTGGGTCCGTGAAAGAAAATACATAAAATATCACCTTGTTTCAATAAGTTTTTAGCTTACCAACAAAAGAAAATTAAAGACAAAGGAATAAATGGCGAATTCAAGTCAATGACAGGTGTGGGTTTGGCCGGCTGAAAGTCAAACCAAAAGAACAACTACAGTATGAACCCCAAAACATTACAAAATCATCCTTTGTCTTGATTGTTATTGGTCTGTCACTAACTGGTATCTAACATCCCGTGACTTTAACATCCTTGTTGCCTATGTACACTTTTTTATTTGTGTTTCTACAACCCATTCAAAAGAAAACAAGAAACCAAAAGAAGATAAAAGGAAAGAACGCCGTTACGCAATTTGGGTTATTTGCTGCTTTATGAATCATTGATTTTCAACTTTAAAATTTGTAATAACATCTTATCGGTCTAAAAATGATAAATTTATATGGTATCATGGTTATGTTTACAAAAGGCTGACGTATACAAAACCACCGCAATCAAAGACAGACAGAAATAAGAGAAACTCCTCTCCCTCTTTTCTTGATTTCGGCTCAAATTTCTTTCTACTTTTCTCTAAGACTTAAATCCCTAGAACAAAAGCCTGTTGGGGTGGTGTTGGTTTTAGTTCTTACATATTTCTTGTTGATCGGTAAGCAATCCCTTGATCCTCTCTTTCTTTTCAGATGTTGATAGATTTCCAATTCTCGATCTTGTTTCTACGTGGGTTTTGGTGGGTCTTGAATTTTATTGAGAAAGATCGCGACTTTCATCTGGGGTTATGTTCTTTTGGATTATATTATTGATATTCTTGGAGCTTTGATTCGTTAGGTTTTTGGGTATCTCAAGATTTGTAGGGTTTCAATTGAATCTTGAAATTTCTCGTATGGATATGAATTTGGTTTTACTTTTCTTAAAATTTGAAGTTGTGATGTAAAGTTCATGCTTGTGTTGAACTTTTTGGGGTTGTTTTTCGATTATTTTTTGTAGGGTTTGTGGGGAGACATCGCAGGTTTAGATTGGTGGAGGGCAAATTGAGAAATGTCAAATAATAATAATGCAGCAGCATGTGCAGAAAGGGCAACAAGTGATATGCTGATCGGTCCAGACTGGGCCATAAATATTGAGCTATGTGATCTTATCAATATGGATCCTGGGTATAACTTCTTTTCCCAATTTTTACATCTATTTTATTTGCAATCTCTTAATGGTTTTAAGCTTATTACTTGGTATATAAGCTAATTTGCCTGCCAATTTTTATATATTTGTTTGAAGTTGCAATTTTCTGTCTGATATATGGTAATAAGATAGGTTTTGTTCATGTTATGGACTTGCAGTAATTAAATTTACATGTATGAACAGGATTTGATCCTCTTTGCCTACAAAGATCTTTTAGCTCTTTCTTGTTCCAATGGTATTTAGTAATTTGTCTTGCAATATGTGCTTCATTTTGCAGGCAAGCAAAAGATGCTTTGAAGATACTGAAGAAGCGCCTTGGAAACAAAAATCCAAAAATACAGCTTCTTTCGCTTTTCGTACGTCTTTCATTTCACATGGTTGATGTTATTCATGTTTGATGTATTTCTAGTATACAGTGAAAGCTAATGAATTAATACGATTTATGGTTGAGGTTCCAAGGCTCCTATTTATTTGTTTTATAGCGACTGTTGCAGACCCTTTCTCTGTTGCATCTTGAGGACTAGTATAACATCTGATGGCTTGATTAAGTTCATAACCTTTAATATTTAGAATGTGCGTTAATGATTGGAGATTACATCAACGAAAAGGGATGTTAAAACAATTGGAAATATTGAAAATTATTTGCTCTCTAGTAGCCATGGAATATATGAAAAGTTGCAGTCATCGTACTTCTTTTTTCCAAAATCTTTAGTTTAAACCATTTGCTTGATATTTATTACTTGTTCTGCAAGGAACCAACTTTATTCCAAAATCTTGCTTTTATTCTTGTACCTTTTGAATTAGGTACTGGAAACTCTGAGCAAAAACTGTGGAGAGAATGTGTTTCAGCAAATCGTTGAGCGGGACATCTTGCATGATATGGTCAAAATTGTAAAGAAAAAGGTGCGGTAATTGTAATCTTTTATGATATATCTTAATTTGCTTTTGGTAAAGAATAAAGATACCCTTCATTACTAAATGAAGACGATAATGCTGATATTGCAGCCTGACTTAAATGTGCGGGAAAAGATTCTTATCCTGATAGACACTTGGCAAGAAGCTTTGGGGGGACGTGGGGGAAGGTATCCCCAATACTATGAAGCATACAACGAACTGAAGGTGATTGGTAAATATATGTTGTACTCCGGTGACAGTATGATTTGTAATTGTTCCTTTTCCAGTTCTTCAGTTTTTTCACCAAAAATCAGATGAAGATTTTATGATATAACTTTCTGATGGTATAAATTACTACCAAGTTGTTTAGTGAAAGATTTTATGGTGGTTTGCTATGTTGAAAGGAAAACCAATTCAACTTTCATTTTTTTATATATTTGCACAACTATAAAGACCTCTTGTCTATCTTGATGTTCTTTTTGTCGATATTGTTCGTACTTTAAGGTAGTTTTAAGGTGTTCCGTTGGATAAAAATATGAAGCATTCCGTAATTTTCTGTTACTTATGAAAAAATGCATGCATGAAACAACGTTAAGGTGGCTTTACACAAGGATTAGGGCAGAGAGAGATTGTACTGGCATCTTATTTTGAATTTATGTAATGTTCGTATAGGGAGGGATTTATTTGAATATTAATATTTGGAGAATATTTTATTTTTATTTAATATTATTGTCTTCAATTATTTTCCTTGTTCTCAGCTGGAGTGTTTCTTTTTGGTCAATACTGTTGACTATTAAATGATATATGCGAGAATGGACATATAAGATAAAAAGGGAAACAGGAAAGAATAGTTTTTATGTAGTATACGGGATGCGAGAGTTACGTAATTAATGAACTTGTAAAACGACAAGGAACCAAACTTGTTTTTAGTAACACCATGAAGTTTCCATCTACATCTTATATAATCACATATACTAATGAAGGTGACAAGTTGGGAACCATAACCAAAGGAGGGTTTTCTTATTATTAACAGAAAAGTTGTATGTAAGTGGTCTTGTATAACGATTTGCATTAGTCTTTTAGACATTTGATATAAAAGGTAGCAGATGATTTTAGGATGTATTTCATTACTGTTTACACACTTGATATGTTGGTAATAGTAGTTGGTAATAGTAGTTAATTAGAAACAACCTCTTGGAACAGATGTATGGTTTGCTTACATCCTATCGTTCAGACGCTGTGGGATATACTGGTACTGGGTATGTTTGGTATGGTTTGGTTTGGTTTGGTTTGGTTCGGTTCGGTTCGGTTCGGTTCATTAGAAAGAGCTAGGCATCCATACAATTCATTTTTGATCTTCCTCTTGTAATGGCCATTGTTGCCCAGTGTAATAAGCGTTGGCACAATCATTGTACGCTTTTTTCATTTCGATCTAGGAATAGTGGAGTATTATTATGAACCACTTCTTAATGAATGTTCTTGCTCATAGCCACCATCTGTCAACACTTGATCTTCTTCTGCTTCAACGAGAAAAATACTAAATGTCTTTGGAGCTTCTTAGCTTTCAGTAATTTCTTGAGACAAGTAGACAACTTATTTTGCCTGATATATAGTCGGGTCAAAAAACCAAACCCGTATCTGCCTTTCCCTTCTTTTTGTTACCCCATATCTCCCATGTGGGGGAGGCCCTAGAAAACCCTTATGTCACCCACCTCTGCTTGATTGCCAAAAATTGTCTAACATTCGCATTTATCTGCAACTGAGAAACAGTATTGTTGACAAGCGATAACATCCACCTAACCAATTGACCACGTCCGTGTACTGGAATTGACTTTTTTGATGGATGAAATGACTTGGAATCGTTTCATTAGGATATTCAATCAGCATATTTTTTTTCCTGATCGGGCAGGAAGTGTGAGTAATCGAATAAGTTTGTTAGTTGGTAGTTTATGCTACGATCAAACTACTCTGGAGCTCATAGTTGCTTGATATGATCTTTCCATCGAATTATAGCATCAGGAAAGGACAGACATGAGGTGATAAAAAAGGGCTTTAACATGTCGAGCTATATTTGGATGAAAGTTTTGTCCCAGATCTTCTGTTTGAACGAAACCAAACAAACCCGATAAATCCTACGTAGAGGTAGGGTCTGGGATAGGATGTAAGCCCTGACGTTTCCTCTACCCAAGTGGTAAAGATGCTGTTTCCTTGAAGACCATCAATGGTGATTCCAAATTTTAACTTCCCAGATAAGTCCCTAATGCAGTACCTCCATATACATTATGACTAGTGGATATGTTGGAGTTTTTCTTTATGTCTAATGATGGTGTCGGGACTGGAAGGGAAAAATTCTAAAACATCCCATTTTGATTGTGTTTTTGAATTGCGAACTGCTTGATAAGTTTCTTCAATCCTCCTGCCAAGGGATAGAGGTAAGGTCTGCATACATCTTATCCCTCAAGCCTGCCTCTACATAGGATTTACTGGGCCCGTTTGGTTTGATAAGTTCCAACCAGGTGGCCTTTGGCCCAATCAAGTATCTACAACATTAAAGTTATTACGTGTTCGATTCTTTAAGGGGATATGTGTGATTATTCATTTTCTGTTTCAAAGAAAAAGCCCCTTCTAGTGGGTTACCAACTGAAAGGGTGTTATACTGCTGTTTCCTTCTGCACTTTGAGCTTTGAATTTCTAGGAAGCAAATGATTGTTGAAACAAAAATTTTTCTTTAGACAGTTTGAAGTATTTGTTATCCACTTTGACTGTGCAGGCGTTTTCTTGTTTCTATTTTCTGTTCATGTTTCAATGAGCACATCTACCAAACCCACGGAAAAGTAAGAAAGATGGTTATTTTATGTTATGGATTCTCATTAACATTTTTTTTCGTTGTTGACAGTCTGCAGGAGTAGATTTTCCACCAAGAGAAGAGAACAGCGTCCCACTATTCACGCCACCACAAACTCACCCTGTTGTGCACCCAACGTCACCTTATGAGGAAGCAGCTATTCAGGCTTCCCTTCAGACTGATGCTTCTGGACTCAGGTATTACGTCATCAGTTTCTTGCTTTTGTATCGAACAAACTTACACACCTTTGTCTCTAAAGGAACTCCAACTTACAAACTAAGGATTGTAAAATATTGACTCCTACCACTCCACGATTTATTCTCCTAGTTGTTTCCTTGGATTGTTCGATCTATTTAGGTATTGATGTGAATTTTATCTCAGTATTAGCAACGAAATTTTAGAAGTGGTATTGGCAACCCAAAAGCACCACTAATCACGTTGTATCGGCCCACAACCACACAATCCTAGAAGAAACAGACCCTCCCTATGGGTGGCGGCATGACCATAAGGGTTTTTGCACCCAATGGGATTCAAACCTGGGAGTAAGAGGAACTATCCTTCTTATCGACCCATAGGGTTGCCACCGAGCTAAGCGGTTGGTATTGGCAATCTGGTACATGGTGCTATTTGTTTTGAGAAGTAAACCAAACCAAACTAAACAAACCCAATGAGTCTCACACGGAGTAGGGTCTAGGGAGGCTAAGATGTTTCCCGAGGGATAGAGAGAGTGTTTCTGTAATGACCCCCCCCCCCCCCCCCCCCCCCGCGGCTTGAAAAAGATTTAGAAAACATGATTTTGCAATTCATTTTTCCAAGTAGTTCAATTATTCTTAGGGGCTGTTTGGCGGTTGCTGAATGATTTGGTGCAGAATGATTAAGAAGTTTCTAGTAGAATAAGATAGTGGTGTTTTTTAATGCAGCTTGTCAGAAATCGTGAATGCGGAAGGGATAGCAGATGTGTTGATGGACATACTTAATGCTTTGGATCCTAAGAATCATGAGGTAACCACTTGTTGATATATGGCTGTATCTCAATATAAGAGAATAAGACCTCTTTTATGATGAAAATTTACTTAACTTTTTAGTTGCATTCGTACATTATCTTTTCGCAAAATAAATAAAGGGAAGAACAATTTGACGCCGATGATCGCTGCTAGTTGAGGTTTAGTGTTTATAACTAGTGACTTTCATGAAAACAACTGCTCTAATCTTAAGAGTGGAGGACAGATCCCTGGGACCCTACTTTCTAGTGGGATATGTTGGATTTGGTTCGACTTGTGATATCATGAATTCATGATATCTTTTTACATACTAGTCTACTCGAATGCAAGATTTTACTGTAAACTGATAATAGAAATTTTAAAGTGTCATGCTAATTTGAAAGTCCTGTAAAGAAAGACCCAAAAAATATTGATATTGGTGTCAAATTAAAGATTAAAAAGTTCTCCTTTCTTAATACTAGAAAGGTACTCATGCAATGCAGCAAAATACATCTTGATTTTAATATTTCGTTATTCTTTATCTCCGTCGATGTTATTATATGGTCTTATGTGATTTTGAAAATGCGACAATGTTTTTATTTTTGAATAAAATATAAATTTGAAGATATCATAAAACTTTGACATAAATATATCGATATTAGTATCAAATTAACTATTTAAAATTTCTCATTTTTTATTATAATTGTTTTAGGTTCAATAACGAAGTAATTTATATTTGGTTTAATAATATAATTTTTTTTATAAAGATAATAATTTGTTAGAATTCGATAATTATCCTAATTATATTTTAGATTTTTTATATTTTAAAATGAGATTTATGTTTATTTGCAGTTAGTTGCATGAATTCAAACATGGAGCTTTAATAAGTTGTACTTATATACAATTTACTTGTAATCTTGAATTTTAAGTAATATGCATCAATAAACAGTACTTTATGCATAAAGAATGATTTTTAAGAGTTTTTGTCAAATGTTTTATAATATAGTATAGATTGACAGTCTATCTTACTTGTGCCAGGGAGTTAAGGAAGAATTGATTGTTGACCTTGTTGACCAGTGTCGTTCTTACCAAAAACGTGTCATGACCCTTGTAAACACTACATCGTAAGCACCTTCAACTTCTCAGTAATATGACCCGTTTGCATTTTTGGCTGTCGTAACTTCGAGTTGCACTTCCTTTTCAGAGACGAAGAGCTTCTAGGTAAGGGTTTGGCATTGAATGATACTTTGATGCGTGTTCTTCGTTGCCATGATGACATTGCCACGGGCGTCCCTTCTCACCCCATTGTGACCACAACAAGAGAAACTTCGGTGGCACCTCTTGTGAACGTAACTCATGAGGATGACGAGTCCGATGATGATTTTGGTCAGCTAGCACACCGGTAATTACAATTATTACTAAATAGAGGAGAAAGAAAGCGCAAAATGCAACAAAGTTTGGCTTAGTTTCTCTTTACCGTAATGGAGAATCTTTTTTCCTTCCAAAATTTCCTATTTTGTACCCCTTTTGACCGCTAATCTTGTAACATTTGATGACGTGGATACCCGTCTATGCAAGGGTTACGGCGAAGGGGATGATACATTTGACATCCACGCCATCGAATGTTACAAGATCATATCAGCACTGAATCAGGGAACAGATCAAAATGTGTATAAAATAGGAAATTTATGAACTTTGTTACAATGTCAGACAAGATTTGTAACGATGAGCAATGAGCTTCTTAACGAAGAGGAATGTTGCGAGTAGTTATAAAAATTTGAAAACTGAATGAAGTCCGTGTTTTTATTGTTTCAGGTCATCGAGGGATACGTTACAGGGACAAGGCCGGAACCAAAATTCTGCAAGAACCGAACCATTGCGTGTGGCCCCACTTCTACCCCCTCCACCCTCATCACGGAAACCTATTAGTGCCGATTCAGGCACGATGGTTGATTATCTAAGCGGTGATGCATACACCTCTCAACGATCTTCTGGAAGCCGTCCATCGACAACTCCCCCAGTACCTTCATCCGATTACATAAACCCAACTGCATCCCTTCCTGAATCTGATTACATAAACCCAACCGCATCACTTTTTGCCGATCAACCTACATACGATGAACCCAAGTCTGCAGACCATGCACCGTTGGCTCCATATAGTGCACCAACCACAGCTCCACCTGTGTCCATCCCACCACCGCCTGCAAAACAGACCCAGAGACAGCAGTTCTTCAACCAGAATCATCATGGTTCACATTCTAGCAGCGGCTCAGGTTCGTCTTATGATGGCTTGGTTGGTCAGACTCAGAATCTGTCTCTTAACTCTTCGACGCCAACCAAGAAAGAAAAACCGGAAGACGCTTTGTTCAAAGATCTCGTTGATTTTGCGAAAGCCAAGTCGTCACCATCGTCATCATCTTCTTCTTCGTATCCGAATAGATCGTTTTGAATCGATACACTTGTTTGGAGTATAAATTAACTAGTTGTTTTGGAGTTGTGTTTATGGAGTAGAGGGATTTGTGGTGGGGAATAAAATGGATTATTGAACTTGTGGGTTGTTTTGTTATGCTTGTATTACTTGGTTTTTATGTCTGTAAATGAGGTTCTTTTTTCTTATGTGTCATTGCTTGTGGTTTTGATATAAAAGAATCATTTTTTTAACAATGGTTTTAAAACAGTCGGGAAAACCGTCAATGGCTTTGAAAGGACTTGAATCTGTATCTGTGTAATAGCCATGGTGGGATTCTAATTGTGTGACCTATGAAGAGGATTTTTAAAAGTCCAAACCTTATTATTAGTTGAGCTGGGCCCGGCCCTCAAGAACCATTATGTATATAAAAATGGTAGATGCCACCCTCTAGAGCGATTCCTTCGGACGTATTGATCTTGGTCATTAGGAAGGAAAATTGTGATGCCCAAGAGGCAGGTGGATGGTGTCGGGATTCAAACTGAAACCTTATGTATTCTTATATCTGTGGCACGGTCGTTTCTATCATAAAGGAATTTTGGGTTATTGATAGAGTTCAAGCTTTCAAACCTTCCAAAGGTTTCCTACACCTAAGAAGAAGAGAAAATCGAGCCCGATGAGATTGTTTCAAACCATGGAAGGATTGTCACACAAGATTTAACTTAGGGGTTGGTTGTTGGGTACATTCTCGGCCATTAAAATGGACAATTTGTAAGTGAACCCGGGTAAGAGTCTTCTCCCTTATTGAGTTGTTGTAATGATCACCGGGTAAGGTAAACCGGTAAGCGCTTACCCAATAGAGGATTTTTCAGTAACACCCGAAATTTGGAGTCAAATCTGCATAGTTTGGAGAAATTAGATTGGAACCGAAATCGAGATTCGAGAATGGGAAGAAAAGCCTCCCTCCTACAACTATTTCAACAAGAGTTCCTAGTTCCATCAGTGTTTTTTAAGCCACTCTAAACTGACAAAGTAAAAATATTGTTGTCCAAAATAAAGTTCTAACATATCTTTGCAATACGAAAATAGAAGGAAAAGAAGGTGTATATTTAAGAATTGATTCTTCTACTATCATAACACATACTTTTTAAAGAGAGTGAATTTCTATGATTGTGTAGCTTCAGTGGGTAGAAAATATCATAAAACATACTTTTTTTAACACTAATATTTAAGGTTCTACTCATGAATTTTAAGAGTATCTTAAACAAAATTCTGAGATGCGCTTAAATGAAGTTCATCATCAACTCCGCTTCGACTTAGTTAAACCATATCTGGCCGAATCGAGATTACGATTGATCTATATTACTATCTGTTATTTAGTGTTACTTCTTATAAAGATTAATATATGTGTAATTGATAGCAAAAATAACACACACGGAAAGTGTGGCACAATAACAATAATGGGCAAGTATACACCAACTATTGAGTTGGTTTGCAAGTAATATAATGCTTAGTTACCAAAAATCGTTTCTACACAAGAATCTGAGATTTCCACGAACTTCCAGTGCAAAGCTAGATTTTATGAAAATTGTTTGGTTTGAAAGAATGTTGATGACCTAAAAATAACAAGTAAAAAAAAGCGGTATGTGTGTAAGTTTTCCTCGAGAATATAATAATAACTTAAATGGTTGACAAAAGCTGTCACAAAATAACCCAATACGATTTCCTCCTCTTGAAGTTACGTTATATTGGTTGTGGTCATGGTTCTATCATAAAGTACCCACAAATGCTAACTTTCGGTTTGACCACCTTACTAAGTAGATCTCTAAGATCTTAGTTCCGCCAGTATGAGGGAGATGCCCATATCTCTATGACACACCAACTCGATTGACATCTGAACCTTAGTACGATTATACAAAAACCCATATCTCTATGCGATTATTGAGATTTTCTCAAACCTCCTTACATCATTCAGGCCCCCACCAACTAAAGAAAGTATCTCGAAATCAACCAAAAAACTGAAAAAGTCCTTCGCAATCAATAAAAAAAATTTAAAAATATATTGTAACGGTGGAATTAGGCTAAAAACACATTGGACGACTTTGTGGGTGTTTAAGCTACCTTAAAAATGCCCCCACTAGACCAAAATCCTAGATCCACCACTGATTTAACGTGAATGCGCATTGGGAATAATGATGAATTACTTTTGTACTTACACAGTGTCCGCCTCTCTTTTGTCCGCATGAACTTTGGTTTGATCAATAGGTTTTGCATGGGTACGTGCATGTGGTAGTCGCTTGCTCACTTCTTGTTTTAATACTTTTACCCAAACTTAGGGTCCGTTTACTAGTTGTTTACTCGGTAAATGCTTACTTGGTAATTTTCCTTATTGGATGAACATGGAAAGCGTTAAAAATCTTACCCGATAAGAACAATGATAAAGATGAAGAGTCTTATTCGGTAAGTGAGGGTGACGACTCTTATCCAGGTAAGCCCTTACCGGATAAATTGTTGCATACGGTACCATTTTGACGTACTAAGGATAAGTGCTTACCAGGTAAGTATTTAAGTAAACGACCCCTTATTTGTTTTTACGAGAAAAATTGTTGTATGAATTTTTGAACGGTTTGGCACTTTCCCATTTTATTTTTGGTGATATTTTGGTTTTTATTTTTGAAAAATAATTGATTGGCTTAATGGCTTGATTTGTTGGTGGCTCCAAATTGAAAGAAATTCTCAAAAATGTTTGGAAACTTTGCTTAATGTTTGGTAATTAGGAAAAGGTAAATTGTAACATCCCAGAATCACATTTGCATGAAATCATATATTTCATATATGATGAAATATAAATTATACATTTGGTCCTAATATATACAAAAGTTATATTATAAAAGTAGCTACCAAAATTTTCTACATAATCCTAGTACAAGACTTGTATACATAACAAGTAATAAGATACAGATAATATCAAATCATCCCAAATATCCATATGCATGCAATCATAAATTTTTTATAATTTCCCATTCTCTTTATCATCCGATTTGTTCCCGACCTGTAATGCACATTTTTAAAACATCAAATGAGGGTTAGATCATGAGGTCTAGTGAGAAATCTCTTTGATTGCTATTACATGGTGAAAATCATCAAAACACTTTTATAAGACCCATATTTATATAATTAACAAATATACAACGTTCTATCAAACAAACCTCTTTTGGTCGCATCAAAATGATAAGACATTACCCACTTATCGCATCAAATAATAGAATAACATGTTTATCGCATCACATATAAAATTATCGCGTTTAAATAAACAAGTAATAAAGTTGTCGCATACCACATAAAACGCACCAACTTATCGAATCATATATATATATATATATATATATATCTATATCGGGGCTGGTTCAAATACTAACCAAAACTATTGTGCAAACTATGTTAACCCGATCTTGATCGTTCATTTTCTCATCAAACGGTCCTTATTAAATGAGACTATAAAAATAATCATTTAATTGAGATGCCTATGAACAACGGTTCAGAGGGTACTTTTGTAAAAA